ATAAGATTTATATAAGCATTCGAAAACTATGTTAATTTATTTACCCTTGTATCATAAATTGGCATGAACATATTTTTACTTTACAATTAGTATTCGTTTTGTATTTTTCAGCTATTTAGAGGTTATGAAATTCCATTAACCCGAGAACATAGAGAAAACAAAGCCTCTTATGTAATTTACTATGCCGGTGAAAAGACGAATAATGATCATCGTAGAAAATGACCAGGGGCCATTTTTCAACGTTGACAAATGACCTTCTAGCCGTAGAAAAATATAATATGAAAATAACGAACAGTATTCAAGCTCAAAGTCCATTTAAACAATACATAACGGGAGCAGAGCAAACACGGACCTCCAAAAACATCAGAGGTGGGATCAGTTGCCATGGAGGAGTGAGCATCCCCTGCCGACCAGACACATCCGCATTGTGCTCCTTGTCATGATCGGGAAAAACGGAAAAGATCGTAGACAATTCAGTGTGTAAATAATGGCCTAACAATTAGTGTGAAAAAAGCCAGTCTGCTTTTGACTTAATGATAGTTTGTATTTCCTAACAAAGTCATTGTATCGACCATAAAACTTGCAAATTATGACTTTATACGAGATTGTTGATATCCTTGTTTTATCAACTTGTTTGTCAATAGCTTGCCTCGTTCTAGAAATTGTTCACACGTAGGGCATGTTCTTGTGTATCGAATCAAGTGGGAGACAAAAACCACTTATGCAGGTGAGACCAACATATTATCCCCGCGCCCTCATTTTACTTATAGCTCATTTGAGCATTTGGTCTATGGACCTTTTAATTTATAATTTTTAATCCTATTAAGTTAAAAATGCATTATTATCCCTACCAAAGCGTCTTAAGAAAATGTCATAATTGAGTTTTTAAAATGACTCCAAATGTATTTCTTTATAAGCATCTCTCCATTGAAAGAGGTATAACCCTTCATTTTAATCCCATCATCCAAGAATCTTTTATAGAAAGTCTGGTTGAAACATTGAGCAAAAGGTCAAGCTAGTGACTAAAGTGACCAATAAAAATAGAAAAAAAAGTAGTGCGTTAATTTAAGAAATGAGTAAAATCTACATTCACAACAATATAACTTGGTTGGTGAAACATATAATAGTATAATGTTTCAAAGAGAGTGGTTTTGTTTTTAGCTATAACAGGTCAAAAAATGTGTATTGACAGTGTTCTATTAGATGCCATTATCAATACTGTATTCACTAACAAAGTGATTTTTTTTTTCCAAAGGTGCATCATTTCGCTTCAAAAACTTTCCACGTGACCATTGTTAAAGTTGTTTATAGAACTCTTTATACAATAATTCATTAATCTGAATTTACATTTTATTTGATCTTTAAAATTGAGACTGGAAAAAATGCTTACCTTGATGATCTGAGATTATGATTATGTTTCTGCGTCAAGTTGTTCCAGGAGGGAAGAACTTAGGGGTAGGAAGGTCCATGATGAATTTCATCTACATAATTTTTAGACTCATCAAAATGGAGTTCATTTATTGGAATCTTAAATAGCTCATTTTAAGCGTCCGAAATTTCATGAGTCCCATTCTTCAAAACGGCGAAAGAAATTAAAACTATTTTGAATTCTGTCAAGATTATGCAATGCGATGGGTCAATAAAAGAGAGAAAACATTGACAATTCGTCAAGTTGAATAAAAAAAAATTGAAATCCCGTATTTAACGATTCAGTTTGAAAAATGCTTACCATACATATGTCTGTCTTCAAAAATAAAAACAATTAGATTGACCTCATTATCAGCATGTATTGGTGTCAGAACAAAAACATTTAAGGCATATACTTTTTAAGCTGATTACTGCAATGGCATTTTAGAGGAACTTGACTTTAATTCTACAACGATACTGCTCGTCCAAGTTATACATGCAATTTATTTCAAAGAGGTATTCTTCATTTTTTAAAAAAAATATATATTATCTATATTTTTAGCAACATAATTAATTTAGAAATACTAAATTAAAAAGTTTAAGATAATGAAAGTGACCGATCTCAAAACCGCACAAACAATACAAATTTTTAACCGGGGCATAAAACATGGACCTCGGAAATCCATAGGTGGGATCAGGTGCCTAGGAGGAGTAAGCATCATCTGTTCACCCGTCAAACCCGCCTGAGCCCTATTTATTTGATCAGGTAGAAGGAACTTTCTGTAGTCAAATTCAGTATAAAAACAAAGGTCTTACAGTTGTTATTATGAAACAATTCAGCCAAAATTTGACCAAACTATAGGTTATATTTTGCTAACAAAGTCATTATAACGACCATAGAATTTACAAAATGCTGACTGTAAACGAAGTTCTGAAATTCTTCTAACATTAACTTATCTGCGAGTATCCTCGGTTTAAGAATTGATCGTACTCAGAGCATGCTATTGAGTATCGAATAAGTTGGAAGACCTTTTAAGATGTTGCTCTAGGTCTTTATTTTCAACTATATTAACCTCTCCGGTTATCACGGTCCAGCGGAACTGAATTGAAAGAAGAAGAAGAGCAAGAACAATTAAAAGGATTTTGTTTTGGATGTTCAATAACTAGACACAGTAAGATTTGCTTATGATTGAAAAGTTTGGAAGCAACATTTTCGGACTTTCTGTAGGAAATGCAGGTCTTAAACTTCAACTTGAAATATGTCAGAATGCAAGACTGAACGTTTTGATGATTGAGAATGTTACCAATGCTCACAGCTTTTTTGCTTTAATTTGTTGGCAAAGTTAGTTAAAGGAACCGAGAGGCTGATTCAGAATTATCTTCCGACACACATGGTGGCTTGAAGAGCCTGTACTGGTCAACGTCAATAACCACAAACTTGTATATTCTGCATTGAAGAATCTGAGTATGGACTTGCTTTAGCTTTTTTAAATAGTCCATTCAAATTTAAACCTTTGCTGTATTTTAAAAGCGTGATTCCTTAAATATATTACAGAGCAGTTATCCTTTTTTTCTCGAAAAATAGTGTGCCACAACAATTTCAAGACTGTTTTTTATTCAAACATTGGTAAAAATAATCCCGAAGATCGTTTTGGAATCAATTTTTTTGCCATAAACACCCTTAAAAATGTACGACTTTTTCACACTTTATACAACCATTTTGTGTTATTAATGGAAAAAAGAGCTTATGAAATTAAAGTTTATTAGTTTTCTTCAATAAGAAATGGCATTAATAAGCACACACACACCCACACACCCACCCTCACAACCACACACAAATTCTTTGAACAGCCACAATGAAGATGAGATTAAAAAGTAATTAGAATTTATGATTGACAGTATCTCTATTGTCTTAGAAGACCTTGCCTGTACAGGATCATGAAACAGACTTAGATTTACGACAAAATTCAATTGTAAAATGTCTATCAATTAATGAATCAATCTCTAAATTTGCAGTTAACAACAGTTTTTAAAGCAATATTGAAAAATATTTTAATTTTAATCTGCTTTCCTTCTATAACATTTTAGTTCAACACGAAGATTTTGACTTAAGCTTAAGATATTTCATGACTCTGGGGCCTGGCGTTCAGGCTATCTTTTAGAATTCCCATTAGTTCTTATTGCGCCCCATTATAAGCCGACCTGTCTTTGTATTCATGTGTAGCAGATCTTATTCTTTGGAAAGAAAAAAAGTCACTTGATGTGACCATTTAGATATATATCGATGAATCCGTTTTAAAAGGAACATATTGTTCTTTCCTCTATCTCGATATTCCACTGAATTTAAAATAATACTAGACAACACAGCGTCTTTTTCATATTTTGATTTATTGAAAGAATTAGGCAAGACTGCAAATGAACAAAATAACATATCTGATAAAAGTGACTACTTCACTTTTTTATCGTCAACTCCCCATATTCATATAGCAATATACCAGGAATATGGTATTTTTACTGTATTTCTCAAAATTTATTCAATACGCAAGAGCACATAAGTCGACTACCTACAAATGATAGGATGTTACAGGGTATCATCAACCTCGTTCAAAAATATCATTTTGCAAATAATATGGTTGTTGACTGGCGTTTTTATGCAAATTGATGTTGTTTTTTTTTTTTTTTAATTTCGACTCGTGTACAGATTACATCTTTCACCTGACAAAGACAACGAACTCAGACATTTAAAAGGGGGATGCTTACTTTTCCATTATATCACTGACCCACCTTTCATGTTTCAGGGGATCTGTGTTTGCCTCGTTCTCAATTTTTATTGTATCATTGGATTTTGAGCTTGAGCATGTAACCTTCATATTTGCTTCCATCAATCTCGGTCAAAAACACTGATTTTGCTTTATTTTTTAAAATCTTCCTACTTATTGATTTATTTTGTTCCTCTTTATTTCTTAGGCATCAATTTATTTCTGAGGATGCTTCTTGAAGTAATACCGAATCATAATCATTTTAATATTGTATTAACTGTATTATCTTCAAATTTACAACAGAATCTTACATCTTTTCTTTCTTTTTATTAAGATTTCATGTCGTGAAATTTGTCAGAAAATAACAACCTGACAAAGACAGGAAATCAGTCCGCGGAATATATATCAATGGGCGTATACAAATCAGCTCCGAATAAAAAATATCATACACCCGGACAATGCTTATTTAAACTCTATTAAGTGTTTTCCTTAAGCCTTGCACTATGTCAAGTAGGATCATGAATCTTTGACGTTGTAGAAACTCAATCGTCCTCAATTTGCATTTATTGAGGAAGATGATAAACTGTTAATGGTCATAGTTGCCGATATATATTGCGGGTAATTAAGTACAGAGATATAGAGGCATATTCAGATGTGATTAAAAATTAACCTTATACACAAGGAAAAATTTTTATGTGCGACACGTCTTCAAAAATCGACATCAGAGTCAAATATAATGAACCCGTTTTAAATAGCCTTTAATAAAGTACATATAAACCTTTCATAATATTTCCTATAAATTGAACTGCATTTACTGAAATTAATTAAAGTGAATGTAGACTGAAAAAATACAATGTTGTCACTGTTTCAAGCTGTCTTCGTTCTATTTGCACTGTTTGTTGCAGTGGTTTTTTCCCAAGGTAAGAAGAAAATTTTTTCTAAATTTTTTGATTTTCATAAAAAAATATTTCTCTGAATGGTTAAATGAATGGTTTAAATTCCTTCAGCACACAGAAATTCTTCATTTTTTTTCTAGCAATAATACTTTATCCATTTGTAAGATTTTTTGTCATTCATTTTGAATAAAGTCCCTTAAAATCCCTGTGTATACCGGGGTTAGTAATATGAGTTATGGTGTACATTCCGTGTATTCATTGTATTTAAGTGCAAATAACAATTTGATCTTGGTTTACATGGTGTACGTGTACGAGTTAAGTCCAATGGTCATTTTCAATTAGTAGATTAGTAAAAAAAAAAAAAAAAACCCATTTTATTCTGATTTCTTGGTCCTTTTTTTCTTTATTTTACACTCATTTTTAAAACAATAAATGACATAGAAAAGAGGAAATATTCATATATGTCGCTTCACAAATCGCTCATTTTTCATATTTTGATAATCGTGGACGCTAAACATTGCTAGGGAATGAGTATAAACTTATTTGAAAAAAAAGATTATTATGAAATTGATATATTTATATTTTTGTACGAAGAACAAAGAAATAAATAAACTATTTTATGAGACAGTCACAGTTCATGCACTAGCTTTTGTCTACGTCATGCAATGTTTTTTAATTTCAATGCATGAGAAAATTAACATTCTTGAAATATATTAATTATATTTAAATAGACATCGATTAAAGGTCTTGTTAACATGCATTATACTATAAATGTTCATAAATTGGCGCACTCAAAATTGTCCTCCATATCTGATAAGCGCAATCATAATTTAGCGCTCTTGATGCTCAACAATGACTTAATTACTTTTAATCATATATTAGCGTGTGCAAAAACCCGCGCATAAGAAACTGTTCGAAAGGCACTAAAATACATTATGAATATACCGTATATACTCGGCTATAAGTCGGTTATATATTTTAAGTTTAAATTAGAGGGATTGACGGTACATACAGTATGAATACCGCTAAAAAACGATAACGTTTACACTATTTCAATCTTTATTGACATAAATTTATTTTGTAAATCATGTAATGTGATAAGAGATGAAGAAAATAATTCAATTAAGGTTTATCATATCATAATGTAGTTTTCATCGACAATTCCCTTTTTAAACCAAATGTAAAAAATAATAGATTCATAAATGAGATTTAAGAACTCGTATTTATTGCACTGTAAATTATTCATAAAAATAAACATTTCAAATACCAATTCCATAAGGTCTAATCTACGATATGTGCCTTCTGGGAAATTATCAATGTCGGACAATAAAATCTTTTCGATCTTTTAACACTCTCTTCCTCTGACTATTTTATTTATTTTTTGTTGTCAGACATTGATATTTGATATGGTTCTTAAGATGTAGATCACAGTATGTTAAAAAAGACGAAATTTGCAAAAATCTGTCTTTTACACAAATTAATTAGAAAATTGTTATCGATATGCTGTAGATTTTGAGCAGTAATACATTTTGTCAACATGCATCATGTCATTATATAAGCGCATTAAAGTTGAATCTTACTGGTAGTAAGTTATGATAATTCCTTTCAATTTTTGAAATATGAGAATTATTTGCTCTAAAATATGCCTTCATGCAAAACATTTGTTTAACCATAATCTCCGTTTAAAAGGGTTTGAATTAATGACAAACAAACCAAATCCCCTGGAGTTGTGATATATTTCCTGAATTTAACATAATCTGAGATTTTCCATTATACATTTCTTTTTATAGATTTCAACGCCTGGAATAATCGAAATTGGCCACAAAATAATTTTGCAAATGGATGGAATAGAAATAATATGCACCAAAATTGGCCCAATCAAAACAATGGATGGTTTTAGAGCAAAGAATGTGGAGGACTTAGATGGAGATATACTTTGATTCCTTACAGATGCATCTATATTAAGTGGAAATGTGGCAATTCAATAAAAACTTTTATACTCATATTTTTGATTAAAGATATATAAAAATCATTTTTAACCTTATTGAAGTAATGATAATATTAAGATGAATACATGTATCTTGCAGTTATCAAATGCAACAATTCAAATTGTCTGCCTTAAAGCAAGAATTTTTGCCTAAGAAAATAACACAAAGGTAGAAGATCAAACAGAAGGCATAACAAATTAGCGACCAATGCTTTATATCTTATCAAGACAATAAATTGGCATAGGTTGTTTAGAACATCTATAGCAGTAACAGTGTACATTTGAGCGCAACTGTAAACAGAGAAGATGGAGTTCAAAATAGTTAGTTTCAAAATGACCAAAATTATATAAAAAACATTAAAGATAGTCACATGGATTTTAATGCTGCTAGTTTAGATAAATGAAAGAAGAAACTGTAGCCGTTCGTAGCAAATCTGAATAAATTAATATCCGTATGCATTATTTCGAAGCTAAAGTTTCCAAATAATTTTAAAATTATATTTTTAAAAAGTTTGAGTGAATCTTATTTTATTAAAAGGATTTTCTGACATCAGTTAAAATACCATAGCAATTTCCACTCGACGATAATGAAAAAAATATACACTGCAAATCAAAAAATGTGGTTAAAATTTGCCTGTGGCCTAATATCATAATCATCTCCGAATTTATAAATTGTACAGAACAATATTTGAAAAAAAAGAATAACATTAGCATTACATTTGGAATCTTTAAAATATTAGATGAAATTTGGAGATAACTAACAGTAATCAAGCTCAAAAGTCCATTAAAATAATACACACCGGGAGAATCAGAGGGTTGGATCACGGACCCCTGGAATCGTAAGAGGTGGAATCAGCTTTCATGGAGGAGTAGGAATCCCATGTCGACCGATCACACCCACCGCGTGCTCTTCGTTATGATCGGAAAATTGGGAAAACCATATTTAGTTCAGTATGAAAATAAAAGCATAACAATTTTTATGAGTGAAAAATATTTTCTAGCCATTTTATCCTTGTTTTGCATGTATGATTTGTTAAAACGTTGGGACATTAAAAGAATGTTAATGAATATTTATTCTTACACACGCAGCAGCTGTCTATCTTCTGGTATCAATTAAAACGAACATTTCACAATCTTAACATTTGAAAAGTTATTTCAAATAATAAAGTGAAATATGGAGATAACGAACAGGGTTTAAGGTCAAGAGTCCAGGCAAACAATATAAAACAGGAACAGAGTAAACACGGACCTCAAAAATATCAGAGGAGGGACAGGTGCCATGAAGGAGTAGGAGTAAACATTCCCTGCCGACTGGTAACACCCGCCGTGCTCTACTTTATATGAACGGGAAAAACAGAAAAATCCATAGAAAATTCAGTGTTCAAATAAAGGTTGTTGTACATGAAAAAAAATATTTGACGACATAAACAAAGAAAAAAGTAACACATACTATAAAAAAATCTTTACGTACATGGTCAAAATATTCTATCAAAATGTTATAAATGAAATATATGGAAATACGAACAGTATTCAAGCTCAAAAGTCCATTAAACATTACATAATATGTGCAGAGCAAACAAGGACCTCCAAAACATCAGAGAAGGGATCAGGTGCCATGGAGGAGTGAGCATCCCCTGCCGACCGGTCACACCCCCGTGTGCTCCTTGTCATGTTCGGGAAATAACGGGAAAATCCGTCGACAATTCAGTGTGTAAATAATGGCCTAAAGATTAGTATGAAAAACGTCAGTCAGCATTTGACTCAATGATAAATTGTATATGCTGACAAGGTCATTGTATCGACCATAGAACTTACTAAATGATGACTTTAAACGAGACAGCTGATATTCTTGTTTCATCAACTTCTTTGTCAATAATTTACCTCGTTTTAGAAATTGTACATACGTAGAGCATGCTCTTGCGTCTCGAATCAACTGGGAGATGTAAACCCCGTATACAGGTGATGAAGGTATATTGCTACATAAGTAAGGGAAGTTGACGATTGAAAAGTTAAAGTCATTACCTTTATCATAAAGTTTGGTTGTTAGATTACCATTAACGTCTTTTTCAAGTAAAATATCCAAATATGAAACAGATGTGTCAGACTCCGCAGTATCTTTTATCTCAAGCTCACCGGGATATATCGTATCGACATCAGAATGGAAATAACTATTGTTAATTGAAAATACGTCGTCGATATATCTAATTGTCGAGTTAAAGGCCACAGCAAGTGTTTTCTTCTTTTCACGTATAAGATTTTGGACAAATTCTGCTTCATTTGAATACAAAAAAGGTCTGCTAATAACGGGGCGCAATTGGTACCCATGGGAATTCCAATAGATTGTTGGAAGACCTGGTCTCCAAAAACCACATAGATATTGTCAATCAGAAACTCAAGCATCTTTTTAATGTCAACTTCAGAGTACTTGTGTTTACAATCAGAATGTTTAACAAAATAATTTTGCAAATGACCAATGACAAGGTGAGTAAATTAACGAGTTCCATTTTTATTGAAAAAGCAGCTGTCAATGATATCAAAGAGCCTGGATTTTAATTTATCGTGGGAAATGGTTGTGTATAAAGTTGAAAAGTCATAAGTTTTTAAGCTGTTGATTTTGGTAAGATCTTGTGATTTCAAATTTTCCAAAAGTTCCTTGGAATTTTTAAGTATCCACATCTGATTTACACCACTTCTCGAATATATTGTTGCACAGTACTCTTGAAGTTTCTCCTTCATCACTGTTAATATCTTAGTGAGGAGTAAAGATAGAGGCTTGGTTGAACATTTACTGGAACCCGCTATGTATCTTTGTTTGTAAGGATAAAATAATGTTGTTTGTAAGGATAAAATAATGACAATTTTAGGTGATTAAACACGACATATCATGAAGTCAGGGCGCAGTAAACACTTGTGAGCTTTCTCGTACTTGCAAAATACTGCTTGCCTCCCTCCCCCGCGTGTCCCTCCTTGCTTTATTTTAAAAAAAAAAACAAAAAACAAACTTCTTTTTTTTCAAAATACATTTTGAGTGTACCAGGGAACAATAATATTTCTTTGAATGCATCAATACTTTAATTAATTAAATGAATCTTCTCTCCATTTCTATTAGCAATGCTAAGTTATTGGTAAAATTGCTTTTAAATTAAATAAACCGTTTTTTTTCAGACACAATCGATCAACATTAAATCAGCCCTGTAAGCAAATTAACTTGACCACTTTCACACCCTATTACCGGCATCTGGGACTGTCGATGCAACTGGGACGACAGACGGCAAAGTTGTTTTTCGCTATGACAGAGACCTGATTTTTATCATATTTTTGCCTATTTATAACATTCATTTACTAACGTATGGTGATTTCCCGTTAAGATCATACCATAAACTATATTCCTGTAGAATATAAAAGTATGAATTCTTGGGATTAAAACAAAATAAGAACAGAATAAAGTTAAATTCAATCGTAGTTCAAGAAAATTTCGTCAAACTGAGGTTATATAATTAAAACTGCTACTCCACTGTCACATTTCTTGTTGTATATGATAAATATATGCTCGTAACGACAAAACTGCAAAACATGGGTAGTCTTTGTTGTTTAATAAGTGTGCCGCAAGTACTTGATTTTGGCTATCGTGTACAGCAGACGGGGCGAACAAGAAGCAGATTCAAAACAGAATTTAGCAATCGGAAACAGTTGATACGATTTTTAATAAAGTATAAATTTACTGTATGTTATTAAGCTTCAAATTTCGGAAAACATTTTTTTTTTGGCTGTAAATATTGGTCGTATACGAGGGGTGATCAAAAAGTTCGCGAACTTTCTCTATATTTACAAAACAAAAATTCAGATCTAAATGAAATTTGGCACACATATAGTCATACAAATGTTCTATTGCTAGCAGATGTTACTTGATGTTTTGCTTCATGTTTGTGATGTCACAATGTGAAAATAACGTCAGTATGTAGATGACTTGTGACAAAAAATGGTTGACTCAGTCGTACTCAAGCAACGAAAAGTTGTGAAGTTTTTGGTATATATCTTCGAAATTCCTTTAATAATTTGTACGATTATGAAGACAAAAGTCCAATCATTAATTGGATTGATTGTTTTAGAGAAGGAAGGGATATGTTTAAAAATGATGTTTGTTCTGTTGCCCAGTGAAAACAAGCTGAGGGAGAGATGTGTCCTTAGTTGAGCAATTTGATAAGAAAAATTGCCAAGTTACAGTTAGAAAAATAGTTTAATATCTTAACAATAATATGATTATTAAATCCCTAAAATATTGTTTACTTTAGGCTTTAGACATATAAGATATGATAAAAAGAAGGCACCCATGCTTATCCACATTGGAAAACGACACTCCCAAGACAGAGGACATGGATTTTGATGGTCACTATGCTCATTCTGGGAAAAGATATCCTTATTCACCATCCTATTGCCGAGATATAACCATTTCTGACAAATGGACTGTTCTTGTCATAAAAAATAACTTCCATAGTAAGAAATATAAGACTCAGAAAAATCTTTAGCTTCTGTGAACAGAACGCTTCAGATCATGTCAAATGACTGCCTGGATCATGTGATTCTCGCATAGACAGAACGGTTGCAGATGTACGTTAAAATCGGAGAGGACTACTTTAAAAGATAATGAACACTGAAACCTTCTTTTATGGAAGCAATTCAATTAGTTCGCGAACTTATTGATCACCCCTCGTATATAGTAGTTGCTAATCGACAGTTACTGAATCAAATTTTTCCTTTATTACTAACATGAACATTGGTGATTTATGAGTCGCAAATTTTGTTTTCCGGCGACACGAAAAACAGATATTTGGGACTGCAAAATATTCCAATCTTTATGCACAAGTCTTATGTCATCATAAACTTGGGATTTTGAATTTGCTGGTTTTAGCATTTCTGAAATACTAAAACATACAATTAAGAGATATCTAACATGATAAAATGCAATGTAAAATGCTTACTTATCTCGTGAAATGAATGCTGTAAGTTTGATTCCTGATGACCCTCTCGAGCCCGGTTTTATAATTTTTTTGACAAAAACTTTTGTAAAGGGGTTAATTAATTATCCTAAAAAGCATATACTGTCTGCAAAATAAACCAAAGGCGATAGTTGTGGGAAATGACAGCTATCGATACATCATGCAAAGCATAACCCAACTATCGTAGACTATATAGATTTTATGAAGAAAAAAGAGAGATTAAAATGATACTGTTGAGCTAGGTGATTTTAAATACATTATTGCAATATGCAAAAATAAACTGTGTTAAGTATTATTCACAAAAAATATTGGTTGAAAAGTTATTTAAAGACATTTACCAAAGTCAGAATAACAATTTTTCAGCTCATCTGAGCATAGCTCAAGTGAGCATTTCTGATCAAAGGGTGTCCGGCATCAGTCTGTGGTGTAATGTCTGTCGTCTGTATTTTTTTTTTACATTTTCGACTTTTTTTTTCAAGAAACAGCGTGTCAATTTCAGCCAAACTCCTTCAATTGAAGGACCATACTCTCTTTCAAGGGGAGATAATTAAGAATTAGAGAAAATTTAATGGCGCATGTTTTAAAAATCTTCTTCTCAAGAACGACTGGGCTAGAAAAGAGGAAAAGTTATGTGAAAGCTTTATTGTATAGTGTAGATTTATTTTTTTTCAAATCATGAACCCCGGTGATTAGAATTTTAAATATAGCAATATATAGAAAAATTTCTTTTAAAACCTTCTACTTACGAACAACAAATCCACGATTAATCATATTTACTAGTATACAATACACGAAAGCATCCTTATGTAGTGTAGTCTGGGGGTAAGGTAGGGCCACAATATATTATCAAAGTTTTACATGGCAATATAAGGAGAAAAATCTGCTGGAGGACAGCAGAACCATAGTAACTATGGTAAGCGATGTGACCCAAGGGCCTCTTGATAAATCTTTAAATGTTCCAAACTATAATAATCCTTTAAGTAATTCCAAATATATATGGTTGCTAAATAGAACACAACATTTTGGTCATGAGAACATCGAAAACTAAATTAAAATAAAGTTACCGATTGCCATCATCTGTAGTCAGTGTTTGCAATGTTAACATCCATATGCTGTTTACGACAGCCAAAAGACCTTGACTTTCCAAAATCAAGCGCTCATAGCACACTTATTTAACAACACAGACTATCCACATTTTGCAGTTATGTCGTTAAGAGCCTAAATTTATTATATACAACATGTAATGTGAAGGTGGAGTAGCAATTTAAATTATATAAGCTCAGTTTGACCAAATTTTCTTGAACGACGGTTGAAATGAAACTTTATTCTGTTCTTATTTTGTTTTAATAAGAAATCATACTTTTATATTCTACAGGAAAATAGTTTATGGTATGATCATAACGGGAAACCACCATACGTTAGTAAATGAATGTTATGAATAGTCAAAAACATGGTTAAAATCAGGTCTGTGTCATAGTAAAAAACAACTTTGCCGTCTGTCGTCCCAGTTTCATCGGCAGTCCCAGTTGCCGGTAATAGGGTGTGACTTTGCAACGAGAGATTAAAGGTTATTGTATTTGACTTGCGTTATTATGTAGATAAAATCCTTTGAAACACACAATAAATACATAAAAGTGTACCTGTACGTGCATTAAAACGTCTACAATCTGCTGTATTTTATACATATTCAATTAATTTTTGAATAATTTAAAGCATACTTGTAACAAAAAAATAACACATTACATTCTTGACCCTTTATTGCAATTATATCTTAGAGTAAAGAAAACGCACTTCCATTCACCAAGATATAACTAGAGTTTTGTAAATTCATATTAAGCCTTTCCAATAATTCTTCAGTTTTCATTACTTTTCTTCGTCATTGTTTCCAAACTAGTTGTTAATCATTGAAAAATCCATTGTCGTTAAAACCGAAGAAACCATTGTCGTTAAAACCGAAGAAACCATTGTCGTTGAAGGGACCATCATTGTTGTTGAAAAAGTAAGGGAAACGGAATGGGCGCGGGAAGGGAAAGTATGGTCGAATGTAAACTACAAATAAGTGATAATGATTGTAAAGAAATGTGAAATATATAAATAAGTAAACATAGGATTCTATCGTCAGTCTAGGAAAATATTTCTCCCGTAGAATTTCAAAGAAATGTACCTGAAAGGTAAAGCTGTGCCTTCCTATCTTAAAATCTTAATGCTATTTTTATCATAGATTTAACCTAGGACAATATTTATAACAATGCATGAACCATTCTAATATAGTTTTTTTGTAAAAATATATCGGTATTCACTTTAAAATTCCATAACTTTTCTGAAAAATGACGACTTATTAAAAAGTATAAAAATAGTTTTCAACCATTTAACTTCTTTTTAAAATAGAGAAAAGTAATAGATCAGTAATAGTTTCTTTGTCAAGCGTCAGATCTTCTATCAAAATAATAACTTAAAAATTTCTCCATTAATTGATTTTAAAAAATAAAAATGAACTTATTCCGTAGATTGGTAATCTGTTTTTCATGTAGAATTTCATAGATTGATATGTACCTGAATGAAAAGTTGTGCCTTCCTTTCTTTAAAATTTAAATGTTATTTTTATTATGGATTTACATAGACCCATGAATATATTTACGAAAATACAAGAAACATAGTTTTAAAATGTAGTTTTTTCATAAATACCATCACTGCGACTTATGAAAAAGTATTAAAATGGTTTGCATTTATTTCATTTCTTCTAGAAATACAAAAAAGTAATAGATTAGTAAAGGTTATTTTCCTCGGGAGTCAGATTTTCCATCAAAATAATGATTATGAATACCAAAATGTATCCATGAATTGATTTAGAAATTATAGATGATACTTATTCGGTAAAAGGATAATCTATAACTCATACTCACAGCGTGACAAGGCAACAGTGAAGCACAGAGCAAAGATCAACAAGAGACGCAGCATTTTGAGAACTTCTCCGTGAGACTTCCCACTAAAGCTGGTGAAATGTGTTGTCTGTATCGCCTCTTTCAAAGTGCTCAATATTTATAGACTGTTTTCTTAATTATGCACATTGCATTTCCTTTTATTCGTAATGGATATTTTTTATCATCAATTATTGATGAAGATATTCTAGTTTCATGGTTAAAAATTCAAATATTACGTGACATGCTTATTTGATTATATTCTAATTATTTAAAAAAAAAAAAAAAAAAAAAAAAAAAAAAAAAAAAAGCATTATTTTTAGACTTATTGAAGCACATGAGAAGTAAAAATCAATTATATTTTATCTAACTATGTCTAACTAATTATTTTCTGTCTGTTTAAACTGCAACACTTTACTCATTTGAAGTAAATTCGTGTCAACACCCTATTTGGTTTTATTGTTTTATTATGAAATATGGAGATAATGAACAGTATTCAAGCTCAAAGACCATTAAAACAATACAAATCGGAATAATTTTCAACATAATAAGGTTTATCTCATCAGGATAAACCAGGTTACGGTATTTGAACAGTAATTGTTTGTGTGTGAGTGTTTTTTTTTTGGGGGGGGGGGTGTGGAGGTGTGCAAAAGGCAGTAACTATTAATAGTCAGTTAAATGTACAGTTCCCCCTTTCATGTTCCATTTTTTTCAATTTGATAGTAATACGCAATCATGATTTTTAATTGATGACCATGCGCGATCAACTCTTCCGTTTTTTTCATCAGCTCTTGAACAAACAACACAAAATTTTGATCTCGTACAAAAATCGACTATATATCAATTGCATCGGTAAAGAAATCAGAAAGATGTTGTGGACTCCAAGAAATTCGAACAGTATACACTTTCCCTGAATCATTTGCTCGGCATTCACGACCATAACTGTTGTGACCACACCAGAACCTGAAGCCATTATACAGACTGACGCTGCACCGATCACACCAAGGTTGCCGACCGTGACCCCACTTTATTTCCTATCCACTCGCTACAACAATGTCTAGCTTATCGTCGTCGAGCCAAGTCAGCCATTATGTCAGGCACAACAAATTCTGTAGCCTAAAGCCTTTTTTTAACAATTCAGAGAGGGGTACATGTAGATAATATACAGTACCAACCAGACCCAACCTGACACCTAAGCAGTCCCAGAAAGCAGTCCCCGGGACTGCTTTTGGACCGCTCTGGGACTGCTGTGTAACTGCTCTGGGACCGCTATGGGACTGCTGTGGGACTGCTTTAGAAAACAGACCCGGCAGTCACAGCAGTCCCTGGGACTGCTTTGATCACTCATGCGTGAAAAAGGTTCAGAGTGACATGATAGTTCCGCCCCTTGTGTATTCTGAATTTGCAGCTCCCTGTTGTTGTTTTGTTTACTTTCTGCAGAGAGGTGTTTAAGATAAAAAAAAAAAATAAATAAAAAACGAGTATTTCTTACAAGAATTAAATAAGAAGAGATAGTTATACATGTAAATATTAAATGTCTTCAGGGGGCTGTAAATTTAAACAATTGTAGTCTAGAATTAATTTTAAAAAATAAAAGTAGTTAAAAGGGGAAGTCAGGGGGTGATTTTTATCTCTTAAATTAAACTTCAATACAGGTGTTTGAAAAAAAATTATCCAGGCCTATTTAATAAATTAATGTTGTCAAATTACATATGTACTCAAAGTTTGCATTAGCACTATTTAAAAAACAAAAAACAAAAACAAACAGACTTGTCATTTCAGTAAGATACATGTATTCAGAGGAATGTACTGTACTGGATTTTTTTCTTAATGACAAAAAACTAATACCATGCTTAAAAAAGAGCACTCCATGCTATTTTTTACCACCCTCAAATAAAACCTAATAATTTATTAAATGACCATGAAATAAAATTATTCTACTATTCTTCTGTCACATAAACAATGTGAACAATTATTCGGGGATTTATTTATGAATTAGTTTTTAATTTATAAGCAAGTTATTAAAAGAGTACATTTATTTTACAAATAAAAATTTGTAAATATCGGGAATTGTTACTTGTTTCTTATTTGTTTTGTTTGTGTTTACCTGGCCGATTAATAAAAAGCAATACAATTGTATAAAATGGTGTCAACACCTGATAAGAGGTTTCAATCGCCTTTGGGCATAATTAGAAGAAAGTCAATGCATGTTATTTGGATATCAGTGTTACACATCACTGAACACGCTGGTCAACATTGACACTAATTTCAATCTATGTACTGCAAAAAATCTTTGTTTCAATAATTGTGTATAAATTTATTTCGGGATTAATTAATTTTGAACATAATCTGAGGGTTCCATTTGCGTGATTTACAGATGTACACTCGAACATTTATATAATAAAACACTTAAAACTGAGAATCTAAAGATAATTAATTTGGCAAGTCATTGAAAATAATCATGACTGAAATATGATAGTCGGCAATGTTTAACAAAGAATTTTTCAAAAGCTCCAATACTTAAGAAAAATGCATTCAGAGTATAGTATGGGAATCGGCATTGCTCTATAATTATTATGTCTATTCAAAGCTAATTCTAGTAGTAAATAAACAATTCAAGTTTAAGTTTCTATATAAAAAAATAAATATGAAAACCAATATCAATCACAAAAAATAAACTGGTTTATTTTGGTGAAAAATTAATATACCAAATAATTGTGTTTAAATATTCATGTTTTTAATAGGTTTGAATGTCTTCTTCATTCAATGATTATCACTTGTTTCTATACGCGTACTGTGATTTTTTTTAACAGTTCAGAAATGACTGTCGCGGAAGAATTATAAATATTTGTTGATACTACTTAGAAAGAAATTATCATCAATTTCAACTGCCTTTTATATAGTTACATTGTTTATTGGTAATCTCATTCTGAGTAAGCTCCGCCCATTAAATTAAATAACCCCGCCCACTGGGACTGCTGGGACTGCTTTCTGAGACTGCTGGGACTGCTTTCTGGGACCGCTGGGACTGCTGGGACCGCTGTGGAACTGCTCTGAGACTGCTGTGGGACTGCTCTGGGACCACTGTGGGACTGCTCTGGGACCGCTGTGGGACTGCTTTAGCAGTCCCAGAAAGCAGTCCCCGGGACTGCTCTGGGACTGCTTTGTGTCAGGTTGGGTCTGGTTGGTACTGTACATCTTGGATTACAAGATAATGACATTCAATTTCGGTTTTTTAAAAAAGTCAATTCTGTAATCAGTTGGGTATCAGTTGATGAGATATGAAAATAACAAACAGTAATCAAGCTCAAAAGTCTATCAAAACAATATAAATTGAGAGCAGAGGAAACACTGACATCTAAAAGCATCAGAGGTGGAAAACGTGCCATGGAAAATTACGCATCTCTTTCTACTGAACACACCCACCGCGTGTTCCTTGTCAAGATCGGAAAAACGGGAACATCCGTAGACATTTCTGGGAGAAAAAATAGATGCAGAACTATGGCTAGTGAAACTGTAGGTAAAGCTAAAATTAAATATGTACAAACAATTCTATGATGTAAACATTTACTGAAATTTAACTATTTCAGTTACTGAGTAAAAATACTCAGAGTTGAGCAATAACAGTTTCATTGATCTTTCACTGTTATCTTCTTACCATTTTTAGCATTAAGATAACAATAGATCAGTAAATACATGCACGGGGAATTTTACTTATGAAACTGTAAATACTTATCAGTAAATATATACAGTCAGGCATATTGCTACCAATGCAAATTAATTTATAATTTCCGAATGATTAAAATTATTTGCAAAAGAAATAGAATATTGTAATTCAAGATCAACCAAAAAAAAACTAAAGTACGCTATCAGTGACAAGTAGAACAATAAATGTACGTAATCGCACGAGAATAAAAAAATAGACGGAGTTTGCGGTCTCTGGGTTATATCTTCATCTTTTAGATAATCTAACAAAATTATTCAGGATAAAAAAAGAATTATGATTTGAATTCGCGAAGAATCAAAAAAGAGAAAAAAAAATACCAATATGTAGTTAAACATATTATGTAAAGAAAAAATAGACATGTATTATAAAATATCTGTCATGGCATATTTATGCCATTCGCAAATTAAAATTTTTGTCAACATAAGATACAGCGTCACCTAAATATAACTATCTTGTCAAGTCAAAATGACTAACTCGTTTGGTCGAGATACACCAAATTCTATCTTGCCATATCGAGAAAGCTATCACAACAAAATGTGATAGCTTACCCTGACTAGTCGAAATGGAAGTTCATGTATCTCGACAAAACTAGCAAGTCATCTTGATTTACGAGAAAGTTATCTTGACCATAAAATTCCTATTGAGTAAAGATTTCCTTAACTTAAATTTTCAAAAAGCAATGTTTCAACTCTGTATCACCTACTTTTTTTTCCAATTTTAGAATTAAGCTAAACATACACACAAAATACACGAGACAAGATTGACTTCATGACTTTTTCTTGTCTGTATCTGCAAAATGTTCAGTCGGATATGCAATTGACAATTTAAGGTAATATACAATAGATAAGCCATATTTTTCCTGAAATTCTTTTTTTTTTGAAACTTTGAAATTGTATTCCAGGATACAAAATTTCTCTTTATATGTAATTTGAAAGAAATTCAACCGCACAATTGTAGCTCATTTATCTTGTAAAATGGCCTATCAACCCCCTGTAAGGAAAATGTGAAATCAGACATTGCACTTTAAAATAAGCATCTTTTATAAAATACCGATCAATCTACTGCAAATTTGAGTGATGCTTTTTATAAATTCAACCTTTCTCTTACTAAATTGCAGTAAATAATATTGACACTGGTATATTTGAGTAAAATGTGATAAAAAGAGAACATACATTGCCAAGGAATTGAAAAGTCACATGTAAGTACTCTTAAGAGGAAATGTATAATTCAATTTTTACAATAAATCAACAGAATGAATGAAATAAAACACAGATTAAAATGTCTCTAAATGAGGGACATTGAACAGGCAGTTTCAGATATTTTGGCGATTTAAAAAAATATTTGATGCAAAAAATTAAAAGAATCAGTAGATGAC